AGTTGGAACCTCATTGTATTTAAAACTTGGATATAAATACAACCTTCCTATGTCTATTGAAACACTGCAATGAAAAACAAGCAAACAAGTAATGAAAATCTTATAAAAAAAGGAAGTAAATATAGGGATGACTACTATCAATCCTTCAAAAACAATGCAAAGAAGATAGTAGGGATGGTATTTGCATCATCCCTACATACTAGCACAGGCAAGAATTTACATATAACAATATATACAACTATTCAATCACATTTGAGTTTAATTTATCCTATTTTTTGTCTATTAACATTTTACTACACTGTGTGCCTTTGCATTTTACATTTACTTTTATGAAAAGTTTTTTATTTATTTGTATACTGCAGTAACAGCATGAATATTAATCCTTGCTTATGAGAACTATGGCTGAAAAGTCTTACTTTGCCTGAAATAAAAATATGTTGAATTTAACAACCCCTAGCTGTCAGCACATTACTGTAAGGTTTGTTTGTTTTAGAGAAAAACTATTGTGTCTATCTGCTGTGTTCACCGCGGATAATCGAACCCCGGGTTTTAGCGCTTAAGTTCGTAGACTTAGTACTTTTCCACCGGGGAACATTACTGTAAGATGATTATCGAGATATAGTCTGCGTTATGTAATTCGAGAAGGTTACCAAATTAATTTGTGTGGGAAAAGGAGGAAGTCTGTTTTAAGCTATAAGTGTATGTAAAAAATATGCATATGGAAATATACGTATATAAATGAATATACATCTTCGTGGTCTTATATGCATATATAAACATTACATGAAGTTATACGTGGATGATGTATAACAGAATGGATCAATTACACACAAAAATAAGACTATGAACAACATACGAATGGAAACAAAGGATTTGGTCTGGATTTTAAGACTTTGCTATATGACGTCAATTATTACTATGGACGTTTAAGGTATTTGATGATACAGTGCACCTAATATTTTCATTAATACAAGTTAGATTTTTTAAAATTTTGTTATTGAAATATTCGTCAGGTAGTGAAATCGTCATGACAGGGTAATAGTAATGGAAAGATAAACACTACATCTGAGGTAAAACATAGCTTTATTTGTTGTCTTTTGGCAAGAGTATCAAATATTTTAGCTGGATCGAACTTAAATACTAATTAATGAATGAAATTATTAGTAGTAAATGAAATTCATAGATCGCAGCTTCGGGGGAGGGCAGCAAGTAACACCCACATTAAAGAACTTTTGAAATCATACCTAGCTAGTACCGAATCTAGAAGAAATTTTCAAGGGGAGATGACAAAAGTGTTGGTTTAATCTAATGATTAGAAGTATATGTTGACATCTGCTAATCTTGGTCAGCTCAGGTATGCAGGAACCTGTTTTGCAGTATATGTAACAACTGGATGGTAGTGGAGGAAATGTTCATGAGCTGAAAGGTAAGTTTGTTGGCCATTGTCACAGGAATAACAACAGAATGGATACTAAGGTAGTGTTGAAACAAAGACCCAATAACTCCAAGAGCATTATGGATACATGTCCTACAGGCAATCAAAACATGAGCCTACATGAACCCAATGAAATGTCGATTAACCAAGGTAATCCATGCTTTACTCTTTATAAAGGTACGTTTTAAAGAGGAGTAATCTTTGTCACCCGTCAGTATGACCATTTTGAATCTACATACTTGTCGGGCCATCTGATTCTGTACTTTCATTTCATATTTATATTATTTAAAATCAAATTCTTTACAATTTCAGTTATCTTACTTTTCAACTAGCTAGGAATTTTTCATTCTACTGTGTGCTGAAACCTCCATTTTGGTCATGAAAGAAAGAAGTTATGATGACCAGCTTGATGCTAATTCTTACCTGTTTAGCAATCAACTGAACTTCTCTGATGACTTGAAGATGTTTGGAATTAGCCTGACTTTCCACCTAGTAGAAATCAAGGATGAAGATGTATTGCCGGCCAAGGCATCAAATGTTAAAGATCTCATGATGTTGGTTTAAAGGATGGCGTGTAAAAGGATCTGGAAGCCAGGAAGTCCTAGTCAGATTGGTTCAACTTCAAGAGCCACAGCTGTCGCTGGTCAGAGTACCAGTGACCATTCTAGAGTAACTGAGCCCAACCTTCATCCACGCCAAGTTGAGCCTGCCAGAGATTTAGTCATAGCTTCCAAATGCCATAAAACCAGCAGTCAAGAAATAATAACCATGAAAATCTTAGAGGTGGGATCCTCTCATAAAGTTTCTCTTCAGAAGGAGTTTAACGATGGAGAAGGGAAGAGACTAACAGTGTGCCCATCTCCAATAAGTAAGATTTGTTAGATTTATCGAGCACCACATATGACTTCGAGTGAATTGGTTGACATCAAGAAAGTTATATTTTGTCTTTGATACATAAAAATTATGCTGATACACTGTCATCTAGTCTCTTTATTTGTTAGGCTGAAACTCAACGCAGGCAGTATAATTAAATTCAGAATTACTTTGTCGTTTATCCTGCCGATTCTCCTGTTATAAAGCGGAAATCAGTTTAACCCAAGAATTCAGTGCCAAGAATAAACCTGACAACCTGCCCATGAAAAGGAAACATGGTTACATTACTAAAAATCTGAGGTTTATAAGGGGAAATAAATCAATGGTATATAAGCCTAATAATTAAATAAGCGTCCGTATACTTTATGAAACATTTTCTATGTTAAGTTTCTAGCTCACATCTTGGGCTGTTTGTTATCGTATTTTTCTCAGTCAGATTCAATTTCCTTGTCAAAATCTCTTTTAACAGACCAAATTTCACTTCACGGTTGTGTTCACTTTACACCGCTGCCTGTGCTCCTATTATGACTCAGATGCATTTTGCGAAAACTATCCGCGAAACATAGGTGTTATTTGCCTTTAGTTGCATGTGAAACATAGCAGGCGTGAAAGACAGTTTGTTTCGTAACGTTTACGAGAAGCACACGATATAGTATTATTATATGATGGAATAGTACCAGGAAGACATTATGATAATGAAAAATGATATTGGTTTATTTAATTTTTAGGGGGGAAAAGAGAAAATTGCATATGAATTGTTG